ACACACACGAATAAATATCAGTTACCTAAAAATGTCAGATTTCCTCTTCAAGATCCTTGAACTATCCTCTGAGAAATCAAGGAAAATGATGAAAAATGCCTGATCTCACAATGTTAAAACAAAAGTGAAATCAGCTGCCATTTTGTCCCCACATGATTGACAGAATCACTTGCAGCAGATCAATTTACAGCACCACTCAATCTTTTATTTATTTTTTTGTCAACTAGTACAAATCAATATCTTTTATATAATTCAAGCATACAGTGGGGGTCCCAGGTCTCTTGTATCTTTACTCTGGGGGTCAGTGAAGTCGGGAAAACCTTGTGCAAAAACAGCTGTTGCTCTCAGTAACCAGGACAAGACAGGATTTCACAAGTGGAATAACCGTCCTTTGTCGGACGAGTTAGGTCAGGGTCTTGTTTTATGAAGGCACTTTTCATTAAATGGCTTTTAATTAGATGCTTTATTAGTTATTCACATTTGTAATTGCACTATTTCAAGTCTGTGAGGTGCTTTGCAAACCAGTTTGTTTGGAATGTTTAACAGTGGGTTCACTTTGTATTTGCAGTTGTTGTCACATTTCTAATGAGCAGCAGTGATGGTATGAAAGGTGTGAAAGCAGCTCCATTTAAAAATGCAAAACGAATTGAAGATGACATTTTGCCCTTTATTTTGTTCCACTTCATTGTAAACTCTGGTGTGTTTAGGATCCCGTACAATGTTGACTGAATTTGCCCACAGTTCTTATTGGTCAGTAGTTGGGCTGTTGACAGATTTTGATCTGATCCTTTGACATTGTCAATACAGCATATGTTACCATGGTTACCCAGGTTACAATTTTTTTACACTAGAAAACCTGATGAAGCCCAAAGATAGCCGGATAACTCACTAAATTTGCTAGTACAGACATTTTCCCTTCCATCCAACCAACCCACCATTAATAATTTATCACTTGCAGGCTCAGCTGACATTGGGCGAGAAGCAGGGTACACCCTGAACAGCTCGTCAGCGTACTATCACAGGGCCAAAATAAAGAGACAGTCATTCACACTCACATTCACAACTTCACTCGAGTTAGAGTCTCTAGTTAACCTAACAAGGGCCTTCTATGTCTTTTGACTGTGTTAAGAAGACTGACTACCTGAAGGCAAGCCATACAACCGTGTGGAGAAGATGCAAACTCCACACAGACCAGATCCAGGCCAAGCAGGGATTCGAACCTTCCTGAGAGGTGACTGTACTAACCACTGCATCACCATGCCACCCCCTAAGCCAGCCACTAGTGAGCCAGTATGAAAAATACCAGGGCCCTGGGATAGATCAGCCAACAATAGTGCTATCAATTACACCTGTTAAAAATATCTGTGTTAAAAAATAATCAGCATCACATTAAAATGACAGTTAAGATTCAATTGAACTGTCCCCTTTAACAGAGCAGCTGACCCTAGTGTGGTCCGCTTAAATGGACCCCTGATGACTCACTTATTCTCCTAGACACCACAATGTTGTATCCTCAGATGGCAAGAAACTGTGATGTATCCTTGAAACTAAATAATTTACTACATTTCACTGCTGAACAGGCAATTTAATCAGTGTTTATTTTTTTTCCCCTCGGTTAGCTCTTTCAATATCAGGAATTTTAGAATTCCTCTCACTTTTGTAGGTTACATGTGTGTGCATTTGTGAAATACCTGAACAGATAGAAAAGAGTGGAGGTGATTTTATTTCCCCCCTCATCCCCTCTCCTCTTGAGAGCTGATAGAGGCGCACTCTCAGCACTCATGAAACACTCCTGTGTGTTTGAAAGGAGCAACATAAAGCTCTCACCAGAGCTTTGAGGCATAATCATGACACAATTAAGATAATTTCCCAACGAGTGCTGGTGGCGAGAAAAGCAATTTTTACGCCTTGTAATCGAGTCTGGCTGTCAGATTAAGATAGCAGGTGATTTGAGGGAAATTGTCTTGGCTGACTCTTTGGAGTGGGATCCAGGTGGCCTCAGGTATCTCTTTGCCTGTTGAGATTGCCCACAAGGTAGTGCTGTTTTGATTCTGAAAATGAAAGAAAGTGCTGGGTTCGTGTCTCTGGGCATTTGTCGCCTTATTACCTGCCTCCGCTGCCATCTACTTCTGCATCTCGTGACTTTAAAGAGCCAAGTGGCCCCGTTATCTCTGTCTCACTTTCTTGCTCTGTCTCCTGTTTATGTCTTTCACTTGCCATCCAATGACAAACTCAACATTCAGCATGTACTCTGTGAGATTACCATTAGTGGGGGGAAATCTGAACAAAACACGTCGGTTTCTTGCAGCCATCTTTGAGTAGATTTTTCAAGATTTCAAAGATGAACTAGAATAAAAGAGCACAAAACCTCCGCCAAGGCCGAACAATCCTACACATGATAGTCTAGTACTTATAGNACACACACACACACACACACATGGCTCCTGGGCTGCCTGACCTTTGGCATGACCTTTCAAAAGAAAATCTGAAGCGGTCGCCTCGCGCCTCGGCCCACGTTGCTTTCCCTCATTATTTTTTTCCACTGTTACCTTTGCAGGTTGGCAGGAGAGAGGTAGATTCAACAACAGGGGGTCAGGGGTCGCGAGGAGAAGGGTAAAGATGCGGGTCAGATTGGCTCTACAGTTGTGTTCGGCCAATGTCCTCAGAGAATTCACCAGCACAAAAGCCATTTGAACTCTGACCCCTGCAGCTGTCTGTCAAAAGCTGACCCTCAGCGCTGACGCTTATCTACCTTAACGATTAGGAAAGATCCACACAGTAATAATGGAGCAGACAGCGGCTGCACAGGTTTAATGTTAAGTAACAAAACATTATACATGCGTGAAGAAACTCAATCTTCTCTGCAGCGTCACAATTAGCAACATCTCTACAACCAAATAAAGATGCTTATTAACATCATGACCCTTAGACGAGTGACTAAAATGATCTCCTCTGCAGAACTAATGTTTTCATCACTTTTTGTCAGCCTGTCAGCAGGATGACACAAAAACTACTGAGCCCATTCTCTTGAAACCAAATCCAAGGATTTATTTTCCCACTTTCTTCAACAATTTTGTGAACTTCTGAAGAAATAATCAAGATCTTTATTTAAAATCAGGCATATTTAGAGAACTGATTTATGAGTGTGTGTAGTTTGATGGTTCAGCTTGATTGAAGTTTAAGTATAAAATGTGCTCTTCTGAGTAACAGCCTATTCCTGATATTTGGATTCTCAATGTTTTGGCCATACAGGCCAAACATTGTCGTACCCTTTAATCCTCTACCTCAATGATTTTGTCATGACACATTGTTAAGACATTCATGGTTTGTAATTTTAACAGTCAGAGCAACAATAATCGAGTGGTTTTCATTCTTCAGTAGTAGGAATATTACTACAAGAGCAATATTTCAACATGAACCGATTAAGACAATAGCCAGTGAACAAGACACTGCCATGTAAACAGCATATTTTAAATTATCTTAACCCTAATAAGGTCACACTCACAGTAAGGAAGGATTGAACTTCTGACTTTAGTCACATTATGAAGACATGTTTATGTCTTACAAAGGAATATGGATTTTATTAGAGGGTGCATGTAAACATAAGCCATGTCTCATTCAGAATAAGGTCGATAGTCGGATTATTGCCATCCATGTAAAGTCACTGATGTAAAAACTTTAATATCCTAAAAATATTTTCACAGCACTGCTCTTAACGTACTGTTCAGACCCTGACTGGAAAACTGTAGATAACAGGATCTTCCAAAGCTAATATTTTATTTTGCAATTTAACTATTTGCTTAGGTTTGAGTTCAATTGATGAAATTCAACTGAACACTTAATATTTTAAGATCAGCTTTTTTTTATAATGATACATTTGCTACAGAGACAGTCTAATAAAACCTAACCCTACAGTGGTAGCATTGAGGTTGTTGTATTCATTAATACAAAGTTTGTGTTTTTCCCACCAACCATTCAGCTGCCAGTGTTTGCCGTCCAGCCACCTGCTTTAATTTTGCCTCCGTTCAGCTAAACATCACAGGTTACAATAACAAATCAATGAGCTTATGTAAAGAAAAGGCATTTGTGGTGCTACTTCCATTTAAAAAAATGTTTTTGAACCAGCGGTTATTTTGATTTTGGCTGAGTGCTCACAGTGAACATGCTGAAACTACTGAAATGATCCAAAAATGTGTCACATACTGTGCCAGAAGTTAATTTTCATTTCCCCAGGTGAAAAGGAGAAAAAACAGACATGTGTGGCACGTTCCAGCAGTGGAGAGACTGGGTTAAGATTTAGACGTGGGCTTCTATTCAAATATGAAGGTCTCCTTGACATTTTCCTGCGCTGCGTTGGCTGCTCATCCTTGTCACATTTCTCCAAACTGCAGATGAAAAAGCACGACCTGTTGACATTTACAAACTCATCTGGCTGAGAGCGATGGCATTCTATAAAGGGAAACACCTCCAAATATCCCACCTCACAGTCCTGTCTCCACCGCTGTGTTACACATGAACATGTTATTGCTTTAAAACAAACAGCAGTCAACCTTTGCAGGGATTGATGTGTTCTATCTCAGTCTTCCTTTTAAAGTCTATGACTACAGCTTCTCCTGTGCACTTTAAAACTATGCAGAAGCAGCACAGTAAGCCTATTAACGTGGCACTGCGGCTTCCAGGGTGCCACCAGAGGGAGCTTTCTGTTCACTTGAGACCAGGGTAAAGTCTGCCCCTGCCATGCCGATAAGATTCTGGAGAGCAGCCAACAATGGTATGGCACACATGTCACCGGCAGTTGGGTTACGGCAGGACGAAGGTGAAATGGGGTGAAAGCAAAACCCAAACAGCAACAACAGAGCAGGAATGTAAACAGAGAGTGAACTGAGTGACCATGCAAATAAATTATACACACGTGACAATACAAATTAAAAAACATGACTCAGGATCAAGGCCACTGAAAACTGAAGTGCCCACAAATAAAACCACAATAAATGAAGCGCTTTTCTCTGTATGGAGGAGAAAAGACTCCTTCGCTTTATTGAGAGCGATTGACAATGAGAAACAAGAGATAAGATTTCAAAAAAAGCCAATGGGATGCAACGAAGAACTTAAATATGAATCATTGTGCGGGTTTAGCCTCTGCATCCCACCAAAGGTTCCAAGAGAGTCCAAGACGGAGCTGTGCGGATCATCTCATCTTTGTGCTTTTGGTCCAGCAGATGTGTCTCTTTAGAAATCTGGACGTTCCTTCTTCAGCTTGCTGTAGTCCATGCCGACTGCGACAAACTGAGAACACAAACAAATTTTAGCTCGATGCCAAACACGGATATTTTACATAAGAATGAAGCTCAGGTGACTTGGCGCAGCATGATGCCCAACATGTTACTGAATCATTCAATTCATTCATTCAAAAGAGATTAAGTGTCTTGTAGTAACTCCTATTACAGTTGTTTAAAGGTCCAGTGTGTAGGATTTAGGTGAAAGGGATCTATTTGCAGATATTTTATGTAGAATAATGATGTTTTCACTATATACTTCCATCTAAATTGTATGAATTGTAGTTATCTTTACCCCAGAAAAGGCCCTTTATATTTAAATACTTGCGTAAGGAGAGGGTAAGGTGAGGGGTGTTCAGCTGCAACATGTAATTTCAACACTCATATCACGATATCACTAAATTCTACACACTGAACCTTTAACAGTGACCAGTCAATGACTTCACCAGATTTATTACAACAAGGCAGAGTTAACCAGATTATGTAATTTGATTAACCCAGATTACGTAATTTGATTAATCAAACTGAAGGAACAATCCGAAGCTCAGCAACAAGTCTGGCAGAGATCCATACTACGATCCCTAAATATAACTGCTTGTGTAAAACATCTCCTTAAGTTCAGCAGGACAGGAGCATGGTTTTAGGAGAAACACACCTTGTACTGATAATTGGGGCCCAGTTTGTTCCAGGGCTCTGGGTTGTTCTTGCGATCCCAGCTGCAGAGGAGAAGACAGGTACACATTATACAAACAGAGACGTTGTGTGAAACGTTCATATATTACACTTCCTCTCATCTTCATACGGCATCACTGAACACTCAGATACAAAAGAAGGGAAGTAAATATAAGATCCTTACCAGACATCTGGGTTTCTCAAAGCCAGGCGAGCGAGGTACATCATGGACATGCTCACTCCTCCACCGATGAAGATGAAGAGGGGGATGAGCTGGAAGAGACGCACATGAGGGTGAGAAATGTTTTAAACTTCAGGACAGGTTAGCACAGCTCTGTCTGAGTGACCGCAGAGGCAGCTGACAGGCGGTGTACACTAACATCACACCCTGTCACCTACTAAACACAATGTGGTCGATGTTTCACAAACTCAACTCAGTCTGCTTTAAATAAGAACACAACTCTGGTGGTTTCTTTTCCTTCCGTCGCTTCTTGACGAGCTGATCTCCCAGTTAGCACGGCTAACTACTTGCTAACCTCCCCCAGTCAAGCTAGTAGCTGCTATTTCCAGCGCACCGGAGCTTCGCTGGTTAAACTTCAACCGCGAGTGAAAACGTGACCTGGTTTGACTCCAACTGCCACAAGTCAACACACGTGAAGTCTGGAAAAATGTTTATTCATCCTCATCTGTGAGAGACGAACAGTGACAAGGAAGCAGCTTTGCACAATTTACACGATTTGTCAAAGTCAGCGCGGTCAAACCCGGAGCACTATAAGCTAGCTAACTAGTCTAGCTAAGCTAAGTTAGCTGAAAAACGCTAAACTAGGTTAGCCTGAAGAATTCACAGACGCTTGGAAGAAACAAAGCGTCAAACACGGATCTTTAGAGGATATTAGTGGAGTTTACTCACAGCGGGATGGCTCCTCAACTGTTTACTGACAGTAGCAAACATTTTTGAACGCGCGATGAGTCCGATTTAACGCAGTTTGTACAGAAATAACCGGATTACCACCAGCCCGTCGACACGGTGCGTAATTTAATGAGGCCGAGGAAAGTAGGAAGCTCCGAATAATGCCTGACCGAGCGTTAAAAAACACAGCCTTATTAATTCATAAGCAGTGTTTATGAAATATCTCGGACTCGCTATGTGTCTAAAAACTGAGTCATTTCATCTGGTTTCATTAAAATGGGCCCTATTTTTTTATAGCCTGTATTTCTACACAATATTTTATTCGGGCAGGTTTTTTTTATGTCGCTCTATCCATCAGTTTACAACCCGAAAGTAAAATCCATCCAAATACAAATATTGAATTTAAAAAATATACTGAATATAATATACAATATTCAATGTAGTGTGTGTGTAAAGTAACGTCAAATTAATGTAGTGGAATAAAATGGAAAGTATTTTCCCTCTGAACTGCAATAGAGGGGAGGCATAAAGTACCTGAATAGAAATACACAAGTTATACTTATACTCAAAGTTGTAATAAAGTTCTGGAGTGAATGTCTACGGTTGCTTTTCCCAGATATGATTTTTAAAAAGGGTGATTATGATATTGTATTAGGTGGACAGAAGTTCCTTATTTTATCATTGGAAATGCAGAAACCAGACACTGATGTGAACCAATGAAGTAAAGTCAATGGAATAAAACGAAAATGACAATGAAATCATATCACAATATCCCTTTTATGGCAAGTGATTTTGCACTAGAAAATAAAAGTAAAAACAATTCAATAGTAAGACTGGACATAACACAACAGGCCACATACAACCGTTCATTATTTATAAATGGCATGAAGCTTGGCTAATTGTTTGCCAAGAAATAAACAGGATGTGATAGTCAAGCAGCACTTTGTTAATCAACCCTTATTTGGTGGTGTTAAATGCTGAAATTCTTAGGCTTTGTTTCTTTCAACTTCCATTCAAGGGAGCTGAGCTGGTTTCAGAAACATTAAAAAGATTTGTCTAAATGGAACTTTGTTTTACACTGCAACCCTCAGTTCATCCAAATTCTTCCGCAAAACTGTTGTAGCTTGTGGTCCAAACAGAATGTTAAGTGCTTAGCTCAGTCAGAACTTGATCCCTAGTTAAATGTTCTTTACAGTATAATCAACAGTACAGAACAGAAAAAAGAGACGAATATTACGACAGATCTTTTAAATACAGTTAAAAATCTGAGTGTACTTGAACATATCATAGGCACAGTTTGCCTATACAGGATGTCTTAAGAAAATAAAGATACTGGCTCTTAAGTGTCTGCATTTCATCTGCACTATTTCTGTCTCTCTCTGCGATCCAGATGTTTTAGTTCGTCGTCTTCTTTGGGCCCTTGCCAAATTTGGCATCAAATCCGAGACCTAAGGTGAGAAAACAGAAGATGTGAATCAGGAGCAAAGGAAAAACAATAAAAACACCAGCACTGGCATCTTCTCTGTGTCAGCATTACATTTACTGGCCCTACTCTCAGTACATGATTTACCAGTCAACTAAATGTTTTTACGTGGGAAGCTTGAAAAATCCCAAACTGGACATAATAGTTTCTTAAAATTAAGACATACAGTAACCATCTCCTTTTACAGCTCTTGATGGAATCAGCCTCATTTTTAAAATATTTGATAGCATTATATCTCCCACCATTTTTATAGTGCTACACTGAATTAATGAGAAAAACGTGTTTTTTTTTTGAGTGAAGAGTAGAGGACATCGGGTTTTTATTCTCACCGATGAAAACTAGGATGGTGCCAACCCACTGCATTGTAGTCATGACGTTGCCAAACAGTAGAACGGAGCCAAGGATTGTGAAGAACTTCCTCGTGGTGGTGACGATGGAGCAGGTCAGAGGCCCGAAGTACACCACCGTCATAAAGATGAAGGTCTGGAGAAGGATTCAAAATGACTCAGATTGTAATTTGAATACACAATGTGAAGAAGCTACTTACAGGATTTCCCATTACAACTACACCGACCACATCTATAATGAAAAGAAAAATCTAGCGAGCTGCTGGAAATAGGTTTGGGAGACCCAGATGTCTTGTGCAGAAGCGGTTTATTTATGTCAGTGAATTGGGGAGAAGAGTGATGAGTAATACAAGTTAACAGCGTTTAACACCACCCAACTCTGAAGGCTCTCCTCGCAGATACATTTAAACCCAGACGTCCTCAGATGACACAGACAATGGATCACAATTACACATGTATCACTAAGAGAGACTAACTGAGCATGAGACACAGATGTTGTTTGTTGTGGCTGTCTACCTTATCAGTAAGGTCATTACAGCCATCCTAGGAACAGATGTTAAATGATTGCTTATGTTAAATGATGTGACCTGTGTACCAAAGCATGGCTTATTAATATAGAGGCTGCTTTCAGACATGCAATGAAGACATGCCATGAATTTTCCTGAGTGTCAGTGAGAACTCAAATGTTCCAGCCAGTTGCTCTGGACATTTTCCATAACTTTTACCTCTAGTGAGCCCAAGTGAGAATTCAGCAGGAAAATACAGATATCTCAGGACGAAAGAGGAGTCACACATTTAGATGCTTTAGAAAACAGCTTTTCAGACCCAAGGACCCAAAAAACAGGGGAAAAAAAACTCTGACAACTTCAGTCGTTCCACCCACCTGCCCTAAAGCACTGGTCAGTCCAAACAGGAGAATATTGTAGAAGATGCTGGGGTGACGTTCAGTGAATCTCAGGAACTCCCATATCTCCCCAGTCCACAACACAGCTGAGAGCAGAGAGGAAGAAAACAGAAGAGGGAGCAGGTGAAAAAAATTACCATTAAGTTTGTGGTTTCCTCGTGGTCGCCCTGTCCTTGACTCTGATGTGCTGAGAAATTCAAACCTGAGTGTTTATAATGTGGCCGCATGGCACCACCATGTGGCCTAATACAGTAATAGCAGCGAGATAAAGCTTGGGTGTGGGCTGTCATGGATTCGTGGGAGTCATAATAAGAACCTTTATATATTGTGGGAAATACACTTCAAAGCTGTGGAGGGAATATAATAATAAAGGCAGCAGGAGAACACCTTTGCAAGTATTTTAATACAACCTCAAACTGAATCTGAGATATTTTATATAATGTGAGACGACCTATGAAAGTGAAAAGCAGACTTTCAGGAGGGATGGAAACACACTGGCAGATAACAGGCAATTATTTTGTTTTAAGAATGATCGAAGTCCCTCAGTTTTCATATTGGCTTTGGCCTTTTGATCTTTATCATTCAGCACACTAGTGCCTAACCTCAGAAATCCCCTCATTATATCATATTTGTTTTATGTGCCTTAATCTCAGGCATTTATAGCAGCCTCCATGTAGACCCGAGGTCTTTGAGGTTCAGAATTTCTTATCTATAAAGATAATGCTGAAAACTTTGCCTTGACTGAATAAATTGAGTTTTTCCTCGTAAAAGAAGTGTTCACCTTTTCTTCCAGAGCCTCTAACTCAGCTGTTATTGCTTTTTGTTTGGGTCCTTATCTTATTATTAGAACTGTCATTAGATACACAGCAGTTCTTGGTCCTGGGATCTTTCTTAAGGATTTTTTTGTGATGTTACAAATCAACACTAACTAATAATTTAATTTCCTTTTGAGAATAAACAGCTCAGACAGCCATGTTCTAACTGCTATTAATACTGAAATACTAGTTGTACTTTGCTGAATGGAAAAGATTCCCAGCATAGTGATAAAATAAGACACTGAACTATATTTAACTCCACCAAGGAGGTTATGTTTTCATCTGCGTTTGTGTATTTGTGAGTTAAAACGGTTACACAAAATCTTCTAGACAGATTACCATAAAAATTTGGTGGAATTACGTAGTATGGGTCAGAATAGAATAGAATACATTTTGGTGTGAATCAGGTGATGGATCCAGGAATTCTTTAAAATTGCACTGTAGGGCATGTTTCAACATTGTTGTTGATTTCTCAGATAATGTTTCACAGCTCTGACATGAACAGGGGAACTGATATTTATGAGAGTGTGAGAAATTCAGTGCAGATCCTAATAAATATCTGGATCTAGTGAATTATATGCAGTTTCATAAGGTGACTGTTGGGCCTTGGTGGAGGTATGTGCTCTACTGAGCGTCATTCTAGTTAAGACTTGATTTGAAGTTCAAAGTATTATATGTGTTTTTAGACTTTTTACAGATCCACAGATATGCAACAGTAAATTGAATGTTTTATGGTACATATACAAAACTGAAGAATAGTGAATTATGTATAATGCAGCATTGGTGACCATGTAAACAGGGTAAAATACAAATAGGTACAGTAGATTGAGCTAATACCAGATTATACCAACACTACACCTGCGAAATGTGAATACAATCTGCATTGGTTTAAATATTTTTAGTTTTTAACAATTTCTGTAAAGCAAAACATGCTGCACCAGTGTTTGTGTTTAATTCTGCAACAGTTTGGCAGCACTGGATCACACCAAGGTGACTTTGCTCATTCGTTTTTTCCTCTCTGGCTGCGGCTGTGCCAGTCACTAGATTAGCCTGTTTTGGTTGGTAAAAAACCCCATGCTCCTTGTTACGTCCCTAAGACGTCTAGGGGATGAGGGACGGACAATTATGAATAAACCGGGGAAATAACAATTGACCAGCCAGATGCTTTAAAGGAAAAAACAAGATTTTTATTAAGGAACGTAGGATGTACACAAAAAAAACCCGCCACCGCCCAACTAACTGAAAACAATCTCCCCGCGACAGGAAGATGAAACAGTAAAATAACACTCCTGATTCTAACTCGCACATATTCAGTTACACTAAAGTTTGATGGAGAGACACTTCAGGTTTACTCACCTAGTCCCAGCACCAGAGTGGACCACATGTTAATGTTCAGCATCATGTGGTTGGCACTCGCCTGGAAGCGAGCCCTCATGTGGTCCTGGGCCACACCAGTCAAACCATCCAACGTTAAGGAGACCAGCTATGACGCAGAAAAACACACCGCCACGCCGTGAGCCAAACGTCATGGAAATGTCACAGTAATCACAGATACAGTGAGGAGACACGGGTAGATCTGAATCATATGACAGTAAATGTGATACGAGGGAAATGCGTGCACTATAAAGCCATGTGGTCTCACCAGCAGAATCTCTCCAAAGCCAAACACGTGGTCATCTGCCACAGTGGAGCTTTTGTTGGGTTTATAGAGGAACAGAGCAACGCCGCTCACGATCAGCAGCACACACAGGTACTTAGCCAGCGGGTACTTCTTCCTCAGTATTGTAACTCCAAGGATCATCACTGAAACAACACAACACCAACATGACTGGTCACTTTGAGCTGTGCATACCAGTGTTACATACATGTGGTGTGAGCTATTCTTAACCTGGATACAATGGCAGGCCTGAGATTGGAACATATGGACAGTGAGGCGGGAAAAAAAGCATGTGAGTATAAGAAGAGATAACCTTCATGCACACACAGAACATACTCTACCCTGCAACTGTGTGCTGAGAAAATAATCTGTTTACTCTGTGTGTCCTAGGTCAGTTCAGAAAGATACTACAATCTATTGCTCGTCATGTGCTATAGACACACAGCAACTTCACTTTGTACATTATGTAAGTCAACATTGAAACATAATGGAGAAGCCTGAAATGTACAGTGATTGCTAAGTTAGCAGGAACAAACATGCATGTCAAATGTCACAAGTACAATTACAGTACAATAGTACAGCTTGACACTGTTTATCTCTAGATCGTCACGTATGACCGAGGAAAGGAAGACGCTTCGAGAAGAAATGCATTTTCATTATTGTTGAGGAATTTTTGACCATCCTCACACATTAATATATATATTATGTATATAATGTATATTACACATAATATCGGTACACCATTGGGAGAGTGGGGCCTGCCTCGTTCCACAGATACTCCCTACTCTCTCTTCGCTGTACACAAGGTCAGGTTATAGATAAAGGACCAACCAACAGTACATCATAGTGTCTGCACTCATGGACTTTCATATCTAACTCAGATGCCCCATCAGAGGCATCACCTTTAACTATTTTGCGTATTTCACCAGCTGCAAGACGCAACAACACAATGTGATTAAGGTGTGCATGCTTTAGGCTTAACTATCCAATAGGATGTAAACACTACATTAAAATATTCTGCGTAAACATCAGCTGCTGCCTGAGTTTTCCTTTCACCGGCTTCCAGAAAGCTTCCATAACAATTATTACCTCCACCAAGGAGGTTAGGTTTTACTTTGCGTTTGTTTCTGTCTGTAAGTTAGCAGGACATTTGGGTGTGGAAGAATTTTTCTCACTTTCTTTAACATTGTTAGACAGCACATCTTTCGATTTCATAGAAAAATCCATGGATTTGATAGAAAAAAGAAATATCAAGCAAATTTAGGGGACTAACATTTATGAGTGAGTGAAATATGGACCAGATCCAAATACAAATCTGGATCTAGTGAATATAAATGTGCTTTCATGAGGAGACAGTTGATTGTTAAAGGTACATGCTCTACTGAATGCAAACAATTTTCTTCCTTTACAAAATGCAAAACACATAAGCCTGGACATTAATTAAACAGCACAATGACAGGAGGTGATATGTTGCATAGATATACAGTTAGAATGCAAGATACAAACCAAAGTGATAGTATTATATTTACCTGGTATGGGCTTGCAGGATTTTCCCAATACCTATCACAAGAAAAAAATGAGTGCCAAGAAGTACTGATACAAAATCCCCCCAAAATTAAATGAACTTTCCCTCCAAAGTGGCAAACTCACCTGTGTGGGATAGTTAACATACTGAAGGGCAGAGTTACTGGACACCATGGCTCCAAGATAAGAGAGGGAACACAGTATATAGAGCCAGCTCTTGGTGTGATCCGGTTTTGAACCCTCAAAAAACTGGATCACTAATGATAAACACAAATATGGTTTTGAATAAATTACACCAAAAAATATATGCTAACTTGACAACATCAGATAGACATGTTGGAAGATTTTTCATTTTAACCACTTCCACAGCCAAGGAGGGTTCGTTTTCACCTGTGTGTTTGAATGTTTGTTTGTGAGAGAAGATAACGCAAAAACTACACAACAGAGTATCACAAAACTGGGTGGAAGTGTGTAGTAAGGGTCAATAAAGAACCCATTAAACTTTCATGCAGATTTGGATCAGGAGGTGGATCCAGGAACTTCAAAATTGAGAGATATGGTGTTTTTTAACAGTTTCATGGATATCCCAGAGAATACCTGGTGGATGTTAAGGAAAGGGGACCAAATTCGATGAGCGTGTGCAATTTGGATGCACCTTGGTTGAATTAAAGAGACTATTGGGCCTTGACGGAGCTATGCGTCATTCTCATACGTTTTTGTCTCCCTTATACAGTACATACTCACAGAGCTTAGCAAACAGCGAATTGATAATACACTGGATGAAGACCAATGTCCGTGCGAATATGAACTTCTCCTTCTTCTCTCCTTGACCATAATCACCTCGGGTGCTGGAAAAGTCAGAATAACAACACTGTGTTGAGGTTAACAATTCTCAGACAATGACTCGGAAACTGAACCCTAAACTGCCCCCCCCTTGGTAGGAGCATGGGTTGAGGAGAGGATAGCTTCAGTCTCCGTGCAGTGAAAAGGCACCTCGCAAAGGAGAGGCCATAATGCATTGAATTACAACTGACAACCCTGTCAGGTGGTGATATTTTCTTAGGGTGGTGTCTTTCTCAGTGTCAGATTTCAGTTGTAGTCAAGAACTCACAAAGAATGCAACCAGGGTTTCAGTATTATTAGATGACAATAGTAACTATGAGTAATTTGTTCCGAAAAGGCTGTTCCGTCCACACAAACCAGTCTAGAGGCATCCATTTGAAACTAAACACGTCTCATCTCATGACCTGGGGATAAACATACCACGAGTGTCATCTCTCAGTAGTTGTTATGCAGTTTAGTTAGCCACAGTCACAGTTCAAAGAATCACAGATAACAAAAATGATTGCTGATTACTACAGATGTATTGATCAAGGTATGAAAGAGAGTGCTTATTGTATATAGATAATAAAGCCAGTACAATTTCTGTTAATTAAAGCTGAATTGATCAAGATAGGAAAGATGCATTTTGTTTTGTTCATACAGTGAAATTGATTTTCCATAATGTATTGATCGAGATAGGAAAGCTGCAACTTGTAAACAGAACATCTGCAGGGTTCCGTGTTACTCACATGGTCTCTTGTAATATTCCGTAATAAAAGTAACAGACAAAGACCCCGATGAAGCAGACGATGAAGCGTATCCGCATGTTGTCCCACAGCGAGGCGGGCTTCCCTGCTCCCTTCCCCGCAGCCATGCTGTCCTCCACGAGCCCGGGTATGGAAACCGACACCGCTGCCCCTCCGCCGCCCCTCACACCGACGTCCCGCTCCACTATAGCCGATGTCACGAACCCGGAAATGGCGCTCGTGTTTTTCTATCAGCTGTGATTGTTTTAAGAAGCCGGGTGGTTTTCTGAAGACTGTCACCAAGCTCTCTGGTGCACGGTGAGCGGTTCGTCCAAAGCTCGCTAGCACCGTCTTCACCGGTCTCGACCTGTGTCAGATTACTCGAGATATCAAGTCATTATAGTTTATTTAGACTCGTCCTGCCTCTGACAACGTGTCGGTCTCTTCCGGGACACGTGCAACATCTCCAGCGTCTAATTCTCTCCTTACACACGGACCGTCACAAGATTTTAGTCCGCGTCCTCATTCAGAAATCAAACTTATATTTAGAAATGTAAAAAAGCGAATCACCAGAAAATAGTTAGGAAAGGACCCCGAGGGTGTCCTCAGTGAAGCCTGATCTATAACATTCAACAATTATTCAACCGTGAACTCGAACGCATCACGGTGTGTTTGCTGTGACTGTGTGAACCCAGCGTCAGAAACACTACAACAAAATATAAGTTCTTTTTGTCAAAGTTGACGATTTCATTGTGTGTTATGAAATGGCAGCTGTAGAGACTGCTACTGAAAAATGTGAGGGGCTTCCTTAAACATGTCGCGTGCCTTTTTGTCGTCCTAGGATGTGGATTGAATGCATTGGTCCATATAGGCGGTAGAGATTCTCCCTCGGCCAATCAGAGAGCAGATTTCAGGTGAAGAAGAAGAAGAAAAGGAAAGGCGGTGCTTAGATTTAAAAACCACTGATCCACGTGTCAAAGGCGAAAAATGACAACAAGACAAAGAAACAATAATTACAGTGTTATAGAAAATATTTGAATGAATTTTATTTTATTAAAAAAAAGCCAAAGCACACCAAAACATCTGATCTGGTATCACCCTGAAAAGGGTAAGAGAAAGGGTGCAATAATCAAGTCTGAGAAAACTCAGAGCTGAATAATAATACAAATAGTTAATTCGCACCAGGTTATTTTTACTGTAGGTTTGGTTTTAATAATCAATGTTGCATGGGACGATGCTGACAAAGACAGTGTCTTATCTATTTGAACATATATCAAACAGTATTTAACCACTGAGACTGATCAAAACATCAGTGTCACCCACTCAGAATATTAAAGAGGTTGCAACAGTTTGGTAAGAACAATGCCCGCTGTAAGCAAGTAAAGCTAGAGATGTTCCAGCATCAGAAATGTCTCAGATACTAGTGCGCAAACCTAAGTACAGACCCAATACCACATGTTAAAAGTATATCAGTTCATTCCAGCTTAAACTGCAATTTTCTTTTCCTGAAAATCACTTTTTCTTCACCACTCAAAAACAGTATTTGCTGTACTGCCACTGGCAAGTATTGTTTAACGTAGCATTTGTCAGAGCCAGCTGAAATGTCAACAATTTGGCAATATTTCACACTGCACAGTCCCACAAGACATGTACCACATGCAAGACTTCAGTTTCAAGTACATATCATAATTTTTTATTCTACTAAATGCACTGTTATCAGATTTGTATTCTGTATCGGCTGATACACAATGTCCGGGTATCAGAATTGGCATTAGCAAGAAAAAAAAATGGTATCAGAACATCTCTGAGTAAAGCTCTTAAAACACCCATCCCTGCTTATAAACCACCAAACTACACAAGTCAGTTTCCTTATTGAATAGAAAAACAGAATCACCAGCCTCATAAGTTCATTACAAAGATACAAAAATATAAATCTTGCTAGAAATACATTTGTAGAAAAGTAGGCTGTTGTAAACTATAGGCCAAAGACTTATAAAACTCAAGGAGTAAACCCATCAAGTATTTTGTTTTTCAAATATGAACACCTCAACTTAACTATGCTTTACAGAGGTATTAATCGACAGTAAAGGATAGTAAGGAAGTAATACTCATGTCAACACGTGAGCTAAATGCTTGGCTTTTGTCTCTGAATTCACTCGTGTTGATATTAAAAATCATCCCAGCAGACTGTAGTCTTTGTCTGAGCTGTTTGCATATAACTAAAAATCCAAAAGGGAAAAGCCTAAGTGATCCTTGAAATGTTTTTAGCATTTGCCAACATTTCCAGAGCTGAAGGCCTGTAGTCTCAGCCCACATAGGGAAAGACTATTTTACAAAACAAATCAAGTGCCTATGAAGTAAATATCAGCTGAATCCAAACATCCTGATTTTCAGGCCAAAGTGAGTCTGAAGTATGACCATAACAGTCTCAACGTCTCTTCTATTGATCACGGTGATCGTGCCCTGTAACACCACTGATGAGCCAAGTGAGTGCAGGCATCTGCTGGCATGTAGAACACATCCAGTTTCCCCAGGTCCCTGCTGTATAGTGTGCTTTAGTCCTGAGATGATCTCCTCAGGAGTCCACCTACTGCATGCCGAGGTGCCTGGTAGGAGACGCTTGTCCCGGGCAGCCGGTGACAGGAGACACCGACAAGCCCCGGAAGAGGAGGTCCATGGAGGGCAGGAGGGGCTTCAAGAGACTGACGGGGCAGAAAGCAGAGCCTCCGTGGGGAGTAAAGTTCACCTTGTTGGGGTCGGGGCAGGACGGCTGGAGGAGAGGCTCATCCTGACAAGCAGACCTGGAGGTGAGGAGACAGACAAGATGTTTCAGAAGAAGAAGTAACCCACTTTACACAGCCAGGGGCTTTGAACTTCTCTCCTAATTGTTCCCTTTTTTTCACAAATTACTTCTTTGTTCATACATACAAGTGCAAAGCCTTCTAGCTATGCTAACACACAATGCTTACATTGCCTCTTCGCACACTCGAACCCGCTCACAGCCCTCAGGTGGCTCGCGCTGGAAGGAGTAGGTTTTACTGGGCTGAGGGGAAGAGGAGCAGGGCTGCAGCTGAGGAGGATCCAGTGCAAATGAAGGAAGCAGTGAAGATGGAGAGGGACACAGGGTCTCACAGTCCACCGGCTCTGCAGGGTCAGAAAGATCCAAATACATTTAGTAATAACTCCTAAAACAAAAACTGAATTTGAAAGAATCTCCCAATAAATATAAAATCGCAGTTGTCTTACCTGGCTCTCCAATGGGACAGGGAGACTGGGAGGGTGACAAAAGCAACGGGTTCAAGGTACGAGGGGAGTTTGAAGGCGAGAGAAGAGATGGATCGAGAGGACAGGGTGACTGACAGGGAGACAGGAGGGAAGGGTCCAGGGGCCCAGGGGAGGGCTCGCTCTGAGAGCCACTGCTGCACCTCTGGGCAGGGACAGGAGCCCTGTGGCCGTCTGGGATATCCAAAACCTATTAAAAAATGGTGTCAGGGAAACAAAATCGATGAGTGAGGAAAGGAAATGTAGGAGCTGGCTGGATAAGTGAGAGGTGTGGCATGAGTCAGAAAAGAACCCATTACATTTTGGTGCGAATCCAGATCATGAGGCAGTTTGGAATTTTTATCTTTAACATTGCAAGATTCAACATTTTCACAAATCCAAGGAAATAGTTCCTGGATCTTGATGGAAAGAACTCAGGTACTTTATGGGGACTGCTATCATACGATTGTGTGAAATTTGATGCAGCTGGATTGAACCTCAGAGGGCTGTTGTGCCTTGGCAGACAGTTATACTTATTAAGGAATTTTCATTTTGGTTTTAGGAATATTTCAGTGAGCCAACCTCAAGTTGATCATCTGGTTTCTCAGACCCAAACACGTCTTCCAGCTCCAGGTTAAGACCTTCGACGCTGCATCTCAGTCGTGGGGCGAGTCTGTTCAGTGGCATCAGGGGTGTTGCCTGAAGAGCACAAAAAATACAATTTAGATGTGACTGTGCACCAACAGTGACTATGAGTCTTCTCCAAAAGCATCAGTTCTATACCATCTATAGTGTTGGAATGTTACAGTATGATATTCTGGTCTTAAATTGTCTCTGTGTGACATCATGGCTGTAACACAGGAGCTTTGATGACAGCCGTTCCTAAGAAAAGCACCAGTGTGTTTTTTTTATATCCCTGTTACTGAGGGGCTCTGCCTGGTCTGCCTGTGACAGCCAGTTAGGCATCTGTGGCAATCTGGAAAATGTGTGTCCTGTGTTTCTTTAACTCGCACAAGCTCAAAAGAAAAAAGAGCAGCTACCTGAGCGACGCCTGCCGCATGACCTGCTGGCAAGGGGTGGTGGGGGAGCCCGTGCCCCGCAGCTGAGGGAGGGGCATGGCGAGAGCGCTTCTGCAACTGATGCCTCAGCTTGGCCACCTGAGGGCAGAGTGGAGAGGGAAACCAAACTAGACAATTCATTCAGAAAAGGGAGAGGTTACTCATTTTCCCCTCTGGGGCTGTTGGGGTTTTCATGCTGCTAGTGGGAGTGCTGCAGAATAAAGAGGCTTGAGAGCGAGTGAGAAACAGAGCTGCTGCAATTATGGGCTGAAACACTCACCTCCCTCAGGTGTTCTGCACTTCCCCACGACGCTGAGCGCTTGTGTCCGCCAGCACTTCTCCTTCCCTGGCCCTCCTCTGCCCAGGAACTTGGAGTCTTTAAAAAAAAAAAAAAAAAACATTATTAAGAATGCAGTAAGTTTTGCCAATCAAACCCTTCCAAGGGCTATGGCTGAAAAAAAAGATTTTATGGAGGGAACTCAGCAGGGTTGACCTTTGGAAGTCCTCTTTTATTTTCTGTTAAACTCACTGAACTCTAATCAACACTACAGCAGTCAAGTGGAGCCCCACAGCTGTTGTTGCACACCTGCCCTACAACAGCTGTACAGAGGAAGGCAACAAGGAAACCACTCTGAGTTGCAAAACATCTCTACTTCCCCACACACACGAGAAAAGATCCAAACCACATCACTGCGCAGACTATAAACAGTGCAACTATCAGCATTCAACACATACAGTTATGTTGGTATTCACATACTGTGGAGGAAAAACACCCAGCAACGTTTTTTGTGCACTTATTTTGCACAAATCTACAACTTCTGACAGTCACTCATATGTCTGTACCGATTTCTTCACTTTGACTCTCGATCTTCTACCAGTGGGAGTCTGGTTGACCGCTGCAGGCTGCTGGTTGGGTGCAGACGGCTGGAAGTTCATCATGAGTTGACCAGCGGGATCAGACACTCAGCAGTTTCTGGTGCCTCCGCTGCCTCCTCAGAGTCAACTGCTTCACACGCCTGCAAACAATCTGAGCCTCCATTGACCGGTGTCCATGACATTCATAAGCCAGCTAACATTACGCACAGTCGTTTAACTCTCTGGCTACGTCACAGCTCTCCGTCCCCAGAAACAAAACCTGTTCTTTTACGCGGCCCTCCACATCTCAGAGAAATCTTATGGGTGCTGTAGCTGCCTGCACGGAAACATCAACACCATCCTCTGCCCCGTCCAGGCGACTCGTACACAGTTCATCGCAGCCGGGCTAAATAAGTCAGAACGCAGCATGAGTCAGTCATACAGTTACGTCGGTGTAGTGTTACAGCTGCCACCTCCCCATCATCCAGCACCGACAACGCCACCCTCCCCAAAACATGACCAGGGTATCATGGGACACAAGTCTATAAAAAGACTCAAAGGTAGCAGAGCATTTGGTCTGCATGGCTAATGTTTCCAACATGGTTAATTCGTTAACATTTAAAAGGTCCTGCTTGCAATGTGGACACAACATCAGTAATAAGAGCCGCACATAAGTATGATCTTCATTATCAATTATTCTATAGTTCTATGCGTTCTATTTTGAGTTTTTATAAAATAGGTCAAGGTCAAATCTTCCAACTGCTTGGTTTGTGCTACTAAGTGAAGGAAAACGCCAAAAAATGTAAAGATCTGGAAGTGAAAATATTTAATTTCTTAATCAATATTGGAGGATTGTCACAACATTTGTGCAGACAGGATAAATGCGACTAACTTTGGTGATTCAGGCTTTCCTCGTATACTAATTCTCATTTATGTTGGTTAATTAACTCTGCCAAGGAGTGTTTTATGCAAAGACTGCAAACTGGATTTCTACAAATCTTGGTGGAAATGGGCCAAGAAAGAACTTACACGGCTTGGATCCTGGGCAAATGGGCGGATGCAGGAATTTTTTTAATCGCTTTCTTTACCATAGTAGGACAAATTTCCTAGGATATAATTTATGGCTCTTGAATAAAAGAATCAGGCATATTTAGGGAACTGACATCTATGAGTAAGTGAAATTTGGTGCAGCTTGATTCCATATAAGGGGACTGCTGGGCCTTGGAGGAGGCATGTGCTCTGCTGAGAGCCATTCTAATTTCTGGATGGATGAAATTTCATACATACATCCATGTCTCCTTAAAAATGACTGGAGAAAATTTTGGTGACTCTTCCACCATCAAAGTTTCAACTCAAAACTGATTCCCATCAGTCTTTTGTGCAGGGAATCAAATATTGGGAGAAAGACAGTTGTATTATCTGAAGTAATGTGGAGGAAGCATGGCAGAAGGAGTTGCTGGGTGGGGGGGTGGTAGTGGTAGTGGGTGTGCATGTGTGTGGTTTAGGAGAGTGCTGGGGGATGGGGTGTCTGTACAATGAGGTCAGGCGGGGTCTGCTCCTCACAATGGAGGCGAAGGGGGTTCGTTTGGGTTTAAACTGTGTCAGGAGCGGAGACGAAGCTGCAGAGCTTGGTGATGTCGGCCGGGTCTTTGTGCACTAGTTAAGGAGCATATACAGTGGCTGGGTGGGGTGTGGGCTGAGGGCTTGGGGGGGATGTGAGGGGAAAACAGCAGACTTTAAAAGAAGAACAAAAACAACTATTTCCAATTGGCTGCGCCCTACGTGCAGCGGGGAACTGAAACCACCGGCAGACACCTGCAGTGCCAACAACATCAGATATCATGAGCTCGACAGAAACACTAAACTTCCAGGATAAGAGATGTGTAATCTCCTTTCTTCTGCAACATGCAGCAACAGGTTGTTGGGAGATACCACTTGTTCTTACGCTACCAGTTGCACTGGTATAGCACTCTGCCGTTTATCCAGACTCTTGTTTGAACACAGTAATTACACCAAAGCGCCACTTGTAATTTGGCACTGTCATAATATACTGATATCCACCTGTGTGGCCTTGTCGTTGGCGCAAGTGACGCCCACGCTCTCCGCCTCTTTGGGCCACTGTCCCAGCAGATAGGGTCCAACGATGGCGTCTAGAGAAAGCGTCCTGCGGATGGTGGGTTTGGGAGGACGAGCCGCAGTCCTGTCAGCTTTTTGGAAGCAGATTAAAAAACACATAAAGTCAGTTAGCATGTCAGGGTTGTGTAAGTGTTCGCATAGTACATTTCAAAAGAATTTCTGTCTGTGTGATCATATTCAGCCTGTAGTAACATTGCATGACATACAGTATGTGTGTGTGTGTGTGTGTGTTTGTGTGTGTATACAGACTCTCTTAAAGAGGCTAAACAGTATTTTAAAACCTGTGGTGGTCGTTCACAAAATTGCTCCCAGGCTTCCTCCCCAACCTTATGCATGCAGTGTGACTGTGTGTGTGTGTGTGTGTGTGTGCGTGTGTGTGTGTGTGTGTGTGTGTGTGTTGGCAGTTCATTGTAATCTCTGGCAGGTGTGGACCATGCCTTTGACCTGGACCAAAGCCATCCAACTACACAACATGGGCAACAGTCACCACAGGCTATTTGTATATCTTACACACACACACACACACACACACACACACACACACACACACACACACACACACACACACAAACACAAACACACAGCCACCAGGTTGCAGGGCAGACAGGATGTATAAATAAACACCACTACATGCAGATGTGACTCTCAGGGACATGGTGAAAGAACAACATACCCACAGTAAAACAAAGAGGCCTGTAAAGCTACTGCTGTGTTAGCGTGAAGCATGCAGCACAGATCCCACAGGTCAGAGTGCACAGAGGCGACTGAGTGTCTAAATAACATTATGAGAAGAGCGCTATGTTTCGAGGTCAGCAGCCTTCATTGGACATTGAAGCTTGTCCACTTTGTCTGACTCATCATCAAATCAAGACTTTGAATTAAGTTTGCTGCAAATAATCAATGTCTGTATCAGTGGAAGTTAAGATTTAAGAACTTATCAACTCAGAAATCTCTTCATCAACACTATTTTTCATATTTTGTGAGCTCCAAGCTCTGGTTCCACAATGCTCCCCTTTAGCTCTGACCAGCTAACAATGATATACAAAATGAATTAATCTGCTATTAGCCAATAAAATAACCACCATGAAAAAGCCTAACACAGTTTGCCAGAGCAAACCAAGAGTGAAACTTAACAAGAAGAATATAAGACAGAGAAAAAGCAGAACAACCTGGAACAAGAACATGTTTGGAGGGTTTCATTAAAAATGATTCAAAATAACAGATTCATTTTTTGGCAACTCCCTGATCATAACGTTCCCATGTGATAAAAAATAAAGAGAAAATGATGGAGAGATCAATTAGAATCCACAATTCTTAGATGTCAACCAGCAGAAGTTAAACCTTGGACCATGGGCCACACGCTGTTATGGCTGGAAATGTTGATGATAGTGTGACACCAAACAAAGTTTCAACTTTGGAGTAGTGTTACATGTGTTTTTCATTTTTAAAATTCACAAATCTTGTTGGTTCATTTTTTTGGATCAGTATCTCCCATAATCATTACTTAGTCAAGACAGATAGATAGATAGACAGATAGATAAACAGATAGACAGATAGACAGATAGACAGATAGAAGACTGTCACGGTCTATGTACTTTAACACTGCACACAACTTCATGTGCATTAGAAGAGGTTTGTTTTACCCATTGGGACAATCTCCACACCATGGCATCCCTACATTGGAGCACATGGAAGTGAATGCTGATCTGATGTGACCCCCTCCTCCCCCTCCTCCTCCTCCTCCTCAGTGAGTGTGTATTTACCCGTCTTGACCTCCCTGCAGAGGAGAGCGGAGCCCCTCTGGAGCTGGTATGGGACTGTGGCTTTGAGGGGCTGCAGGCTGGGGTTGCTGCACCCCCGAGGCGCTCCTCCACTTCTGCCCGACATCCCCCCACTCTGCTCTGCTCTGCTCTGCTCCCACGGCCGAGCTCCGCTTATGAAAACACACACACTCTATCTCCCTCTCTCTCTCACACACACACACACTCACGCGCACTCTCTCTCTCTCTCACACACACACACGCACTCTCCCTCTCTCTCTCACACACACACCTTCTCTCTCTCTCTCTCTCTCTCACACACACACACACACACACACACACACAGAGCCACACACTCTCACTCTATCTCTCTCTCAGACACACACACTCTCTCTCTCTCTAACACACACACACTGCCTTTCTTCTTCTTCCACCAGTCCTTCGCTGCAGCAGCTCCTCACGGCTCCTCACTCCATCCAGGGGGGAGATCCTCCTGCTCGATCAGATGACGATGGTGAAGACCATGATGTCTAAATGTTGCCTCACAGCTTCTTATGTTCAAGTTGCATTAGCAGAGGGAGCCGTGCACTTCTTCAGTGAACCACAAGAGGTTGCACATATGATCTTCCATGTTGAGGTGTGAGGACACACACACACTCACACACACACACTCACACAGACACAGACACGCGTTCCTGCTCGTGTCCCAACGCTGCGCAAAGTGACAACACAACAGCTCAACCTGTGCAACTCATATACAGTCTATGGCAACTCACTCGTGCAGGCTCACTTCCAAGGGCGACCTGATTGGTTGCTGCAGAATACTACTGAGCACCTATTGGTCATCACATCCATCTGTCTGCTGAAGGGAACCCCCCCACTCCATAAAACTACTTTTTTTCATCCCTTCCTCCTCTTCCTCCCCCTCAGACCCAAATCCTTGGTCTATTCAGTCAGTGTGTGTGTGTGTGTGT